ATAACTGACACTTTTCCACCTTGTGAAAGACATTTCTATCTAATATTATGCAAAAAAGTTTTTGAGAGAACAGAATACATGAAGGCCAATAAGATAAGAATATGTCCATATGCTTTTTGTAGAACTCAGATATATACAACTAAATAAGTATGTTTTGAGTTGAAAGTCAAATCTTCCCCAATAATTTATTGGGTGTTATATTACTCCCATGTCTTTATTTTTTCTTCCTCTGGCACACTTTGATCGTAAGTGGTAGCAGCTCAATTATTTTGGGGAGAATGTCAAATGGTGGGTAAAATAGGAAATCACTTGAATATTTACAAAATAGTTATAGAAAGATTAAAATTACTGGATCAAGTTCTATGAATTTTATATTTACTCAAAAAGAATGAATATGAGCAAAAGGTACCAGTTCACTCTGCTCGTCCTTTTACTTCATTTTCTTTCATACTTCCCTGTCCTTTGGTTTTCTTCATGGTTGCCCCATGAAGCTTTGCTTTTTTTCTGCCTTTCTTATACATATGCAAACATACTTCTACACCCACATCCATTCTCATCATTTATGTGTGCCTTTCCATCCAACTTCAAGGCCACAGATACCACCTTAAAGAAAATAGCCATTCCAGTTGTTGCTTGGTTTTGAGGGAGGAAGCAAGTCATAGCAAGAACCAGACACCACTGAACAAATGCTCAGGGGGTGTTAGAGTGCACAGATTTTCTAATCTCTAATTGGTGGGCAAAAGTTATCAGTGATGGGCTGGGCTTTAATTGGTACATTGACTTTGGATATCAAATTGAAACAGCAACCTTGTGACACCATACAAAAGTACCTCCATCAAAATTATACATGAACACACTTTTTAATAAGCCAGAGGTTATCTGTATGATTGTGCCAAGAGTGCCATATGAATTGAACTAAGCCTAGATCCAACAAAAGGAAAAAAGTAAAGAAGAGGAAAGGACAGCATGAGTATTTTCAGATCCTAAATTAATCTCTGAACTAGATTTCAGCTGAGTCAGGCAGATGACTAAGCTATTCTTTTTTATAGAGCTGTGGAAAAACAGAGCCAATCTACTTACAGTTCATTCAAAACTATGGACCTCTGTTCTCCCTTCATGGTTCCAAGCAGAGTTCAGAAATCTATGGCTCAGAGGCCTTTCTTCTCACTCAGCACAAATAAAGAGCAAGGTAGGTGTTACAGCAGCTCTCTTTGACACATTTTAAATTCACACTTCACACCCCTTTTCTGTAATCTTTCCCTCGTCAGACCTTGATTAATTAAAAAGAACATGCAAATCAAGATGCTAGATTTTTTTTTAAAAAAGCAAAAGCCTAAACCTCACTTCTCCCAGTTCAACATACTAACAAGTAAAGCAAATTTCAAGATAATATTGACAACAATAGTTAAACATCTTATATATTTATATGGGAGAGTAATAACTATTAATGATGATAATAATTACATAATAATCCACATCTGCCTATCTGAGATCCTTGGGAAGGATTTGATAGGTTGACAAAAAATGCCAAATCCAGTCTGAACATCTGGCTGGTTGTGTGATGAATCGTAATTCCATATAGATTTGCAGGACTTTCTAATGAATGTTAATTCAAATTAATATATACCCTTGGAAAGAATCGTATTTTAATACCTGTCACATACTTTAAACACATTGATAAGATACTGAGAAAGCTTTTGTGGGATTTTTCTTGATTCTCAACTGTTAATTGGCTAATATTTTGACCTCTATTTTCTAGTGGAAATTAAGGGATTTAAGTGATCGCCAATTAAAAAGTTATTATTTGAACCCCTTAGTTTTCTGGCCAGGTTCCTGGTTTGACTAACAGTGAGCTACTTTATCACAATTAATGGTTGCAAAGCATAACTGTATGAGATTGGGAAGGTAATTTAAATTTGATTGCTATTTCTGTAGGAAATTGCCACAGAATGCAACTCTGCAAATAACAGGAAAAAATCCTTTTAGAGTTCATGTGCAAAAAAATGGTATAAATTCACCATATTGCAATTTGAATTGTCCAAAACTGCTGATTAGCAATACATTCCATTGAAACATTTATTGCCTAGACAATGGGATATATTAGCACCATTAGAAATTCATAGATTTTTATTATCTTGATATAGAACATTGCATAATTCAGATTCATAATTTTTGATATACAAATGATGAGTATCACTTTCACAAACACATATAACATAATGTATAGTTTACAGATTTAAGTCAATTGCGAGAAACTTGAAACAATATTTTGAATAATCTGTTTTTAACAAATTAATGGGCTATTTAAAGACTATGAAATTGTGTTGCATTAAGATACAATTCAGCAAAATTTCCCTTTGGTATTTTCTGCACATTCTAAAAGGCCTGGCTATCATCTTTAGTATCTTCAGAAATGCAATATGGCAAAGAGGACAGTGACACAAAAGTGCTGAATTTGTTTCTTAGTTTTCCCATTTTGGCTTAATATGCTAAGAGGAAAAAAGATTGAAGATCAAGCACTTTACCAAAGTGTGCTGTACACCAAAAACTTGATTACACATATTCGTTCATGAAAATCTCTGGGTTAATCATGTATGAAGTGTAGGCAAAAATATCAGTTTACTTAGATGTAAAGTATCTGCTACCCCAGATTTAAAATCCTGCATTGAAGGTATGTGTTTACTCTCCACATAGTTATGCTTTATACTTTCTTTTGTACATTCAAACAACGCCATTTTTAAGAAATGTGTGCTTAGTTTAAAAAATGCAATACAAGGTGCTGGTCTTTTACTGATTAAACATACATCTCTTTTTCCATTTTACATGAAAATTACTTCTACTTGGAAGACATGAAAGATAGCATCAAATGAAACATGGTGTAACTAACTGAAATCACTGTCAAAATATCTCAAAACTTTCAAATGGTTTGTTGTTGGCTTACAATAGCAAAACCATTCAGCCTGTTGCCCCTTAAAAAAACTTATTACAGCATACGTTTTAATGGGAAAAAGTTTGCTTTTCCAGAAAACATTTACCCCACAAATGATAGTTTATCAGTTAAGGGCATAAGGAGATCTAGTTTTGGTAAATACAGGATGCTGTTTCAACTCTATGAATCTCCAAAGCCAAGAAACTTGCTATGTTGTTACTACAACAAAAACCACAGGATTTTATGGCTATTTAAAAAGTAACACAGTTATTGTGACATTTTTCACAGGCTGCAATTTCATGAAATCTTTGGTATATTATCCCAATCCTGTTAACAGTCCCCAAGACACTGACAGCTTGGCCATTTTTCTAGGTATTTGGGTCTGAGGTTAGGTGAGTTCAGCTATTAGTGACAGTGAGATTATTTAACAGTTCATCCTTAAGTGGTAGAGAGTTATTTGGTGGGTCGATTTGTTTTAATCTTGTAAACAGTCCAGAATCATTTATGTGAAATGGGTGACTATATAAATCAAATAGATACATAAATAGAAGGAATAGAATAAATGGGAAGAGGAATTGTTAAAATTTATTTATTTTATTTATTTATGAGACTTATATACTGCTTTAAGTGCAAGCACTCTCTAAGCGGTGTACACCAGTAAGCAATGTATATATATATTTACATTGCCCCCAACAATCTGGGTCCTCATTTTACCTACCTCGGAAGGATGGAAGGCTGAGTCAACCTTGAGCCGGTGAGATTTGAACCGCTGACCTGCTGAACACAGTCAGCTAAAGTGGCCTGCAGTACTGCACTCTAACTGCTGCGCCACCTCGGCTCTTATGAATGATAGGAAAAATGATAGAAAATAATTACTTACGTTTTTTATAACACAGTTATTGATGATGACACTGATATTCTCACTGATGTGTTGATTAATAGCATATGGAGCATGATAAGAAACTTGGTATCCATTAAAACTATCTAAATCTTAAAATGCCTAAAATTTCAAATCTGTTATTTTGCTATGAAATTGACCTTTGAATTCCTTGGTTCAAGATTGATTACCTTGAAGTCCACATCAGAAAATATTGGGGAAATGATCCTTGCTGGTTTTCAGATACAGCTTTTTTAAAGTAAGATTTATATTGTTTCGCCTAGGGACTACAAAATAATTTATCTAATATACAGTACAACACTTAGATTGCTCCCAGCTAGCAAGTGAGTGAGATACTAAAAGAATAGATTTCCAAGGATGTGAAAGTTCAAATAAGTTGGTTTGTTGCAAAAAAGTTAAAGAAGCCATTATGAAAGAATCTTGTCAATTCTTCAAAGTTCTATTTATAGAGAAATCGAGATTTCACATTTTCATAGCTCTTTCTTTACAAAACCATTACAGCATTTTTGTATATATGAGTTGGTTAATCCCATGTAGTATGATGAGAATCTCTATACTATCCCTGTAATAAGAATTTTGTTTTTTAAAGATAATACAAATCATTTTATTTTTGCGGTGCTACATCATCTCAATTATCCAGATATTGGGATGAGTTACACCCTTGAGGATCAAAGCAGCTAAAAGCTGCTTTGCTTTGATTGATAAGTAGGACATCTTTTGAAGAGCAGTATTTGAGGAATTGGCATTTTATAGACCTGTCATTATATTTGAAGCCTTTATAGATGTCCAGGGAAATGGAGTGGAATTCTTCATTGGCCAACTGCGAATGGACACACAAAGAATTTAATTGTTTTTTATTATGAGCAATGCTGAAGAGATATTATCAGGTAGAAAGGCAAGATCTAAATGTAAATGCCTTGAATAATTATGTGCACCCACCACCTATACTTACATAAATAACTTTTTGGAATCTTTCTGGCACTTCAAACTCCTGTGATAAGCAACAGCCACTATTAACCTCTTAGAATTGGAGCTTTATCACAGTGGACAAGATTATCTTGGTCAATCAAATCTCAATACATCTGATTTCACAAGTTGACAGTTTGGCACTTGAACATCAAGGTAATTCCATCCCACTAAACATGATTATCTACTAATAAGAATGGCACTCACTGGTCATCTCCAACCTTCTTCACCCATGCCATGTCCCTTTGCGACTGACTAGCTGCGAGATCCTAAGAAAAATTAGAGCAAACTTTGTTATAAATATATACTCATGGTTACACAATCCCCAGTACAACAAGCCAGGGGAACACAGCTAGAGGGAAGCTCCATTTTGTAAATGGAACAAATGAGGTCTTATTTGCACTATTTCAATTTGATTTTTATTCATGTGGTTTCCATTAAAGTTCTTCGTTATAATTTTAATTTGAGTCTGAAATCATTGCAAAAAACATGTCCTCACAAATTGCTATTGCCTGGGCATGCCCATGCAATTTTCTGGGCAACATTTTTAAAAGTGATTTGCCAGTGCCTTCTTCCTAGAACTGAGACTGATTAACCCAAAGTCACCCAGTTGGGTCTATGTCTAAGGGAGGAGTAGAACTAATAGTATTTCTTTCTAACCTGGTGAATCATAGTATATAGAACATAGAATAACAGAGTTGGAAGGGACCTTGAGGGTATTCTAGTCTGACCCCCTACTTGAGCCGGAGACCCTATACCATTTCAGACAAGTGGCTGTCCAGTCTCTTCTAAAAAGCCTCCAGTGATGGGGCACCACAACTTCTGAAGGCAAGGTATTCCATGGGTTAATTGTTCTCACCATTAGAAATTTCTCCTTAGTTCCAGGTTGCTTCTTTCCTTGATTAATTTCCATCCATTGTTTCTCATTTTGCCTTCTGGTGCTTTGGAAAATAGGTTGACCCCCTTATCTTTCTGATCGTCCCTCAAATATTATTATTTGACATATTGATCAATATATTATTAAGAAAGTTAGATAACTATTTATGGTAACAAGAATTAAATCCTAATGATCTTATATAAAATAAGAAATATCTATGTATTAAAAAAGGGAAACTTATTTAACAAATGCAATAAATAAATGATTTTCAGGTGTTTTAATCAGTAATTCAGTAACTGAGTGCCACAACCTGAAAATGGGACTTAATTTATTTGACTAAAATAAATGTTCTGCTATTGTAGGATAGACAGTGGCAGAACCCAGGCTGGAATTAAAATAGAAATCAGCATATAATCCTTATGTTGCCACAAATGAACTAAATTTAATCTTCCTTGAATTATGTTGACCCTTATCTAATCCCTTAACTGTTAGATGAGAAGATTCAGGGGCACAGACATGATTAGCAATAAATTAATTTAATTGGACTTTCATAATCTTTCATGTCTGAAGCTTTTGCCTATAGTCCTCTGAATGGTCTCTACTATGCTTCCCAAGCCAGCATGGTCAGGATTGAAGAATGCTGGTGGTTGTAAATTTAACAATATAAGAAAAGGTGAACAACATCCACAGTGGAATACAATTTTCCTTGGAATGAGAAACAATGTAACATCACAAGTTGCTCTCTTCTGGAGAAAAGTAGACAAGTGATGGGGGTTGTGTTGTGATGCTGCTGGTGTTAGACTGACTCCTCTTGCCCTGTCTGATGTCACTGCTTGGAAAGACTACAGCATCTTCTCTACTTCTTTCTGCTTTAGATGTACAACACTCATTCCAACCAGGACACTAGAAAAATTAAAGCTGTCAAGTAAGATATTACAAATACAGAACAGGAAGTTTATATTTCTTAACTTGTACCTGTGAGCTCTGCTACTACATTTTTTTAGGGAAAAATGTACCTTTAAGTTATATAAGCAATGTGTTTAACTAATCCATGATAGTGGATTAAATGAGTAGGTGGAAAATATCTGAAGAACTTCAGGCAGATTTTTCAGAAAACCGGGGAATGGTTGAAGAGTTTGGATACAAAAGTCAATAGGCAAAGCTGGCTGGGGAATTCTGGGAAGGCCACATATATTAAAGTTGCCAAGACTGAGAATGACTGATGCAGGATATTCCCATAGAGTAGGACAAGAGTTTTTGTTTGTTGTATAATATGGTCTAGTTTCACTGGCTTGAATACAGACGGCCAGGGATGGATATTCCTCATTGAAACCTCTGGGATTATAGCAGATAATAGGAAATTCCTATCTCAGTTACATTTATTTTTTAATTAGCAGGATGAGAATAATTCAATTGCATAGTCTCATACAGCAAACATCTTTGCATATAACATATCTAGCTGCAATTATCAGCTAAGACCATCTCCTATCATATTAAATTCTGAAGGTGGGATATATGCTAACAGGATTCAGATATTTTCATACCCAGAAGTCACAAAACCCCCAGAAAAATACAACCCTCAGGATTTTCCAAGAGTATTTTAAATAACTTTCAATACCAAACAGTTTGCACCATGGACATCCCCAAAAATGTTATACTGTTAAAAACTACAGACAGAAAATTCTTTCCAAATTACAGGTTCTCCTCCACTTATGACCAGAATTTCATTGCTAAGCAAGGTGGTTGTTAAGTAAGTCACACCAAATTTTACAACTTTTTCAACATATCTCTGCAATTGTTAAGTGAATCACATAGCCACTAAACGAATCCAGCTTCCCCCATTGGTTTTGCTTGTTGGAAGCCAGTTTAAGGTCACAAACAAATGATCCCAGGATAATGCAACCATTGTAAATACCCGTGCTGATTGCCAAGCACCCAAATTTTAATCACATGACTGTGGGGATACTGAGATGGTCATGGGGCAGCCAGTTGTAAGTCACTTTTTTCAGTGTCATTGTAACTTTGGCTGATCGCTAAACAAATGGTTGTAAGCTGAGGACTACTAGTATTTGCTATTTCCACCAGTTTCATGTTTTAAGAACTCATCTAGAGTTTTTTTTATAAATAATATTTTAAACTGCCTTGCTCTTTTTATAAACATGATTAAATGTCTCAAACAAGATCTCTAAGATATTAACTAAAAGTACAGGGAAATCCTGTTAGAAGTACCTGAGCCCTGGTCTCCTGCAGTTGCTTCACCTCTGCCTGCAACTTTTCACATTCAGCCTTCAATTGTTCTTCCCGGTGCTGACAGTTCTGGACTTCCTGCCTTGACTTTTCAAGCTCCACTTCCAGCCTTTGAACCTCCAAGGCTTCTGCCTGTTCCAGGCTCCGTGGACTCGGCCAGTTTATTGAGCGATCCAGTACTAGGGATGGGGGTGTGTGTGTATTGTGAAAGAGTAAAAAAGGTGGGAAGAGAGAGAGAAAGTCATTATCAAAGATCACAGGATGGAAGACAGACTGGCAGGGTTAATTGTTTCTCAAAATGATGAAGGACTGTTATGTTGAGTTCCTCAGAACTGGAATTGCATAGAAATAAAACTCCTTGTATTTTTTTTTAAGGACAAATAATTTGTAACAATAATACTGGGCAAGAGCTTCCGAAAATATGTGATAACAATTTTTGGTAGCCATTGTAAACTAGGAGAGGGATATCTCCTGGCCAGACTTCAAAATATGAAAGCAGACTTGTGGTTAATCTCTAAATCGTAGGCCAGAATTAATGACAGAATAGTCAGCTTACTGACTTCAATTACTGATTTTAAATATTCATAATGATGAAATTAGGAAGAAAAGGCAGAGAATAAAGAATTATTGATATGGAGGCACGATCTGTTGCAGATTGTGCAATTTGGAGAGTTCTGGACTGTACTGGCTCCCAGATTGAGATGGGCCTAGTAAAAAGCTCTGTTGGAGCCTTTTCCTTTCAGTGAGTCCATCTGGCTGTGCTGGCAGCCTTCAAAATATCATAAGAATGGTACAGCTAACCATCTGATTAATTTCTACATTGTCTAAAACGATGCCAAAATAAAAAAAATATGGGAAATTAAAAAGAATATATGTGGCACTGCTAGGTGCTAGAACCAAAGAAAGAAATTGACAGAAGGCAAATCTTGAAGTGGGACTATCATACACAAATGAACTTTCAAGCTTGCTTTCCTTTACCTTTAAAGGGTGCTTCAGCCAACTTATAACTGTATTCTTACTAAAATAGATCTCAGGCCCCAAAACTTACACAGAGTTTCCAGAGCCCATTCTAAACTGTAAATTTATGGGGTAGTTTATTTTTATTTGAATTTAATTTAACAATCTTTAATTTTTATCTTTGCCCTATATATGGTAGTGGACATGCCTGGAGCATACATCTCAAAGACCAGTTATGGTCCTTGGTCTGAAATAGATTGGCTATCTCCATTACAGGGATTGACTATGCAATTGCTAAGATCTGTTTGTAATGCAGCACCCATAAATTGAGAAGCTAAGCCTCCATTCTGATATGCTCTAATAACATAACACTATATTATCAGGATCAACAAGCATTTCAGATCTTCTTAGAGATAGACAGCTGCCCTCTGTGAAAAAGCAGGAACACTGCTCCAAAAAGTGAGTAGGTAATAGGTAAAACCATCCAGAAAATTGGTCTGTATTCACCAATTAACCATTTTGTCCCTTTCCTGTATTCCTTATGCTTCTCTTATGAATTCAAAGCAATTAAAGGTCAAAGGGAAGGCAATATTTTGGAAACTACTATCCTGCACACAGCCAAGTTTCAAGGAATCATAGCACCACCTACTGGCTGACAAATATGTGTGCCATAATGTGAATAATCTCCATGGGAAACACATTGGGCTATGCCAGCCTGACATATTAAGTTTTGAATTATCAATATACTTGCTCCATTTTTCCAAGATTTAAAAAACTTAACTGTGGAACTCTTGCTGGTAGAGGTCATGTTTCATCCTCACAGGATCCCAGAATGAAGAATGTTTTACACTGATAATCAGGTGGAAATCTGGTATCAGGTCCTGGATTGACATGGTCCCAACTACAATTACTGAATCCAGTCGAAGAAATACTCATATAGAAATCATTGGCCTCATAACGGTGATTTCATAATTCCTCTTCAGTCTGCAACATTTTTTTATCTGCATACAACACCTCCATTATATTTACAATTTAGTGTACTATTCACAAAGCTCTTTGAGTAATTGGCATTGCTCTACATTTTCAACTAGATATTAATAATATAGTACACTGGCAGATTTTAAGAAATGTATGTTATATGTTATTAACTATGTTGTATGTCTGTAAATTATATTACATTTTTTACTGGATATTTAAGTATTACTGTTTTTAATTCCATTTTAATTGTTTTTTATTTTAAATGTCAAGATTGTTGCACAGTAAAAATAGAAGATACTAATATTATAATTTATTATATATTTTACTTCTATTTATGCATAAATGAATAAATAAATATTGATGTGAATGTACTACTGGAAGTCTCTAAGTCCAGCTTCTGAATAGTCACCTGACCCCACAGTCTGAAAATACCATCTGACTTCAAAAGACATATTTCACCACAGAAATCCCTTAATTTATCCAACTTCATCTTCTGCCTCTCTGGAATCTGAGCACCGACCTATTTCTGCTCATATCTCCTTTCACTAACGCTTCGGACATTCATGTTTTTCATGAACTATGATTACTGCCTATATTTGATGCAACTCAACCATCTGCGGTCCTTTTAACCCTGTACTCTTGCTTCCAAAATTGATTCTCCCAAATTGCAGTGTCACATTTTGGTTAATGCAGCATTCTCCAAACATGTACCTTCAGATGTGCTGCAACTACAATTCCCAATATTTCCACCCAGGATATCTAATTCTGGGATTTGTAGTTCCAAACTTTGGAGGAAATAAATTGAGTAAAGCTGGTTTCAAACCTAACAGTCAATACCTTGTTCTCTGGACTAGAAATTAAAAAAAATCACCATGAGTACCATGAAGTGATCGGAACGGAACTTCTTGATTTTGAAGTTGAGAGCTGAGTTTTTGGAAAGTGTTGCCATCTCTTTGCCTTAACTGCTGTTCCAGGCTCCGAATGCAATTCAAATGTGTATCAACAAGTGCTCTCTGCAGAAAGACCAAGATAGAAATAGATGTTGGGATAGAAAGGCTAGTTAATCACCATTAAATCAGCAAGCAGAGAAGCCTTCAAATACAAAGAAGCTGTCCTCCACTTTGCCTTGCCTCCAATTTAAGGCCAACCCTCACTCTTCTGCTCTGAAGTCTTCATTCTGAGTTCACACTGATCCTGATCAACTTTTCCTTCATTTCAGTTTTCTTTTTTGGTTTCAAGTATTTATTAACTTGCCAAAATATAAAATACCAAAATACAAAGAAAAAAAAATGGAAAAATTGGAAAATAGGGGAAAGGAAGGGGAAGAGAAAAAAGGGGGAAAGGGGGAAAGAAAGGGAAAAGCATTGACTTTTTGGCACAGTAGGATGCTGTAATAACATATAGCCTTAAGTTATACATATTAGCCATTTCTATAACAACAAATCTATCTAGTCAAAATCCCAAATCAAAATTTCACTTCATTTCATTTGTTTACATCTCAAGCACAAAGTCCAATAGTGGTTTCCAAGTAGAAACAAAATAGCAATCTGTCAATTTCATCATCTCTGTTAACTTTGCAGCCATTTGTTCATTGTGGGCGTTAAAGTATCCTTCCATTCTTGTGCACAGAGTAATTAATAACTCTTCCATTAAAGATTTTATGTTGTACTCAGCTAAAAATCAAATCTATTCAACAATAGGATCTTAATTTCATTCAGGGTTCATATATTAAGCAAGAGTATAGTTATAACAACAGCAATTTCTGATAATGCTCCAATTGTATTAGGTTTTTTCAATCCATGATCTCAATTTTGCTTCCTTTTAAATGGAGCTTAAATATCTCATTATTACATAATGTTTGGTTCAAAGATAGCATTGCTTTGTTGTTGTTGTTAATTGCGAAGTCGTGTCCGACCCATCGCGACCCCATGGACAACGTTCCTCCAGGTCTTCCTGTCCTCTACCATCTTCTGGAGTCCATTTAAATTCACACCTACTGCTTCAGTGACTCCATCCAGCCATCTCATTCTCTGTCGTCCCCTTCTTCTATTGCCCTCAATCTTTCCCAGCATTAGGCTCTTCTCCAGTGAATCCTTCCTTCTCATTAGGTGGCCAAAGTACTTGAGTTTCAACTTCAGGATCTGGCCTTCTAAGAGCAGTCGGGGTTGATCTCTTCTAGGACTGACCGGTTTGAACGCCTTGCAGTCCAAGGGACTCGCAGGAGTCTTCTCCAGCACCATAGTTCAAAGGCCTCAATTCTTTGGCGCTCAGCCTTTCTTATGGTCCAACTTTCACAGCCATACATTGCAACTGGGAAAACCATGGCCTGGACTATACGCACTTTTGTTGGCAGGGTGATGTCTCTGCTTTTTAGTATGCTGTCTAGATTTGCCATAGCTTTCCTCCCCAGGAGCAAGCGTCTTTTAATTTCTTGGCTGCAGTCCCCATCTGAGGTGATCTTGGAGCCCAGAAAAATAAAATCTGTCACTACCTCCATAATCCATTGCTAAAGGATTATAAAATTCCTCCAAGGAAATAATACAGTTGAATGAAGAACATATGAAGAAAGGTTGCAGGAATTGGGTATGTCTAGTTGAATGAAAGGAAGGATTAGAGGTAACATGATAGCAGTGTTCCAATATCTCAGGGGCTGCCACAAAAAAAAGGGGAGGGTCAACCTATTCTCCAAAGCACCTGAAGGAAGGACAGGAAACAATGGATGGAAACTAATCAAGGAGAGAAACAACCTAGAACTAAGGAGAAATTTCCTCACAGCGGGAACAGTGGAATGACTTGACTCCAGAGGTTGTGGATGCTCCATCATTAGAGATTTTTAAGAAGAGACTGGACAACCATTTGTCTGAAATAGTATAGGGCTTCTCCTAGTATAAGGGATTGTACTAGACGACCTCCAAGGTCCCTTCCATATCTACTCTTTTATCCCTATTCTATTCTATTCATAATGGTAAGTAGCTAGTAGATAGGAAGGAAAATCAAGTTCCATTAAATCAGTGGTTAATGCCGCGACCCCCAACTGGTTGTAAGTCGAGGACTATCAACCAATCATAAGTTGAGGACTACTCAACTGGTGCAGCACCGTTTGCAGAATGGGACTTTTGGCGGGCTCAGCAGGGCAGAGACAGCCTGGACAATTCCTATTGGCTTTTGAAAGCCAATGGAATTAGAAAAAAATGGCGGACTGTGTTGTTTGGCGACCCCCGTGAAATGGGGTCCCGACCCACAGGTTGAGAACCACTGCATTAAGTAAACAAAAGAACATACAGAATAATTATAGCATTTTATTATATTTATATATGTAATAATTCTAAAAATATTCAGTTCACAAATTACAGGATAAACTCTAAATTAATAGATGATCATAGAGATTTATTTAGTCAATTAAGAGAAGCTGAAATAGTACATTTTAAACTGGTAGGCTGCATTGAACTGTTTAAACATTTTTTAAAAATGAATGCATACCAAATAAATATTATTTATATAAAAAGTTACATATAAGTTCCTGCCTTGTGGAACTAAAGAAGGTGTGTTTTGTTATTCTTTAACCAAATAAGGATGTCCACAAAAGGTCAGCACGTAAACCTATTACACTGTTAAATCAAGATGAAAAAACCTATAAGCTAAAAATGTTTATAATTAATTGTTTCCTAACAAATCTGGATTTATTTCTAAAAGAAACCTAGACAATTAAATTATAGGCATGTATTATATGGTGTTATGAAAAACATAATAAAACATTTTATTTCCAAGAGCCGTGGTGGTGGAGTGGTTAGAATGCAGTATTGCAAGCTAATTCTGCTGACTGCTGATTCCCAGCAGTTTGACAGTTCAATTCTCAGTGGCTCAAAGTTGACTCAGCTTTCTATCCTTCCAAAGTCAGTAAAATGAGTATCAGATTATTGGGGGCAATATGCTGACTCTGTAAATCACTTAGAGAGGACTATAAAGCATTGTGAAGCAGTACATAAATGCTACTGTATTGCTATTGCTATTTGCTTTGCTCGGTTTGGATATCTTCCAAGTGAAAGGCATACAATATTTCTTCAAACATTATTAGAAATAAAATAGAGATTATCTGCAACTTACAATGGCAGTTGGAACTGGGATTGCCATTGCTGAGAAATGCATTTATAAAGCATTACATCATTCTTTCTTTCCTCTACAGTCACATGGAGGACTGAATATTTTGGCTGAACATTTTGTATTCTTGATCACTGGCTTCTGCAGAGTCACATAAGGGGACAGAATAATGAAAGGAATGATACAGACCGATCCTATTTTGTACTAGTGCTGTGACATTGCATGCACATTCAAAAGAGTTGGAGCTTGTGTCACCCTGCTCCTTTCATCATTCTAAGAAAAGCAAAAAAAATCTCATATTCCTGACTTAAGTCAGGGCAATATTTTTCTTTGTCATTGCTGAGTAGAAAAACTGCAATTTGAATTGCTATTCTTCCTTACTTTGTATTCCTGTTTTAATGTTTCCAATTCACATTAACTGATTTATACATGGCATGGAAATCTTTATTTATATAAAATAGTTGTTAAAGGCTTAGACAAAGTGTAGAAAAGGATTTATGTATAGCAACCTGACATATTAGAATTATTATTTTATGCCTTTTTATATGTACCTCAAGGCAGTAAACATACCTAATACTCCTGCCTCCTGTTGTTGTTTTCTCTACAACAGCCCTGTGAGGTGAATTGGGCTGAGTGAGACTGATGGGTCCAAAGTCACCCAACCAGCTTGCATCCCTGGGGGTGAGTTAGGACTCAAGTGTCCTGTTTCTAGTCAGCACCTTTCCCACTACATCAAACTTTAAAGATAGTAATAAAAAAATACTAATTTTATTATTACTTCAATTTAAGATGAGTAACATACATTATTCAGATCTCAAAGCAGGTTTACTGAGTTAGTGCTAGATATTCAGCTTGTAAAGCAATATCATTTCTCCCTGATATTAAAAGTACTATTCTTTATAGTACTATTCTCCCGTAAAACTGTATTATAATACTTATTGTCATCATGCTGAAGGAGTGTAATCAAATCATTATGTATAGCCATTTCTGATGACAATGTCCATGCAGTTATACATTTGGGTTGGAAGAATTTCAGATAAAATGGAAAATAGATATAATATCTTTAATAATTCATTTGATTTGATTTGATTAATTTTTCATCTTTCCTAGGCAGCATAAAATGGTATAATACAAGAAATTAGTTCAATGTTGATATGAGCTGCCAATTTTACTATAAGAAAACACTGTGGGGTCAAAAGGAGAAGTTGAGATAAGGGAAATTTTGGTCATTAAATTTAAAATATTTAGAAATTAGTCAAAAATAAGGATGCTATTTGTTTAATACTTAAAAAGTAGATCCAAAAGAAAAAAAAATATTATGAATATGTTTGATTTATTGATTAACTCAGACAATATATATAATGGGCTTTAATTTATTAAAGGGGATACTGTATTATTAATTAGATGATGTAAGATGGGGGGAAATAGATAACTTTTAGGAAATAAAACAAGATTATACCCCAATAGATAAGATATGTATTTTGAATATTAAATTCTGTTATGAATTGAGACAAAGGAAATTTTGTTTACCTAAAACCTGGAAATTATAAATATCAAACGCTGAATTTGAATATTGATGGGAAACTAAAAATTGGGAAAAACTAATAACAAGACATTGATTGAATGTAAAGAATGAATGTAAAAGTAATTAAGATATGTATAAGCTAAAAAATTATTAATAAATGTAATAATGATGTTTTTATTTAGTTGACATAATAAGAATTGTATTAAATATGAGATAGTAGATATTAAGGGAAAAAGAGAGGAAATATTTGAGGTTATAATTTGAGATTTGTACTAAAAAAAATTGTATGTTACTGAACTATTGATTAATCCAGTCACCACGTTGCTTTTTAAATACCTAAATATAAAATTAGAAAATTAATAAACAAATATTTAAAAAAAAGAAAATACCGCAATGCTTAACTACATCAATGAAGTTTAAAATATGGGAATTAGCAATAGATGAAAATTTATACAGTAATCCATAATATTGAAGAATCTTTTAACTAAATATTCACATTGTGTGTTCTTTTATTTAGTTGTAATAATAATAATAATAATAATAATAATAAACAAATAATTCCTAAGTCATTATATCTACCGATAAAATATGTTTTAGAAAGAAATAATGAGTGAGGATGTTTACTTAAGTTTATCTTTCCTTAATTGTGTGTCAGTGTGTGTGTGCGTGCACACCTAATATAGTATAGGTTTTCACAGCTGGCATCAATGAAGCAATATTGAGCCTCATTCTATGGCTAAAATAGAAAAGCCATCATTAACACGCCAAAAGAAAATCATGATTGGTGTTCAAAAAAAGAAATCAATTGGAAACCAGCTTTCTTGGACTCCCATGATATGGACCATAGATCAGCTTGCCATGTTCAAGTATAAAACCCAGTCAGCTCATTTCAGCTGCCAGTGAATTGTCAAGAGAGGTACACCACAAAGCAGCTCACTCTGCCTTTGAAGATGCCAGCCACAACTGCCTGAGAAACATTAGTATTAGACCATGACCATTTGGCTGAAAAGCTCATCACTGCTTCAAATCTTTCTCTTGCTGTTCTATATTATTTGAGTTTTTTCTCTTTCCCAGACTTTATTTTTTTTATTCCCAACTTTCTCCCTATGTTTGAAAGAGGTTCGATCAGTCCTTTGTTTTCTTTTACTGACTTTTTTTTAACAACAGATTGCATCACAGTCTCATGTTTATTTTTAGTTTCTATCCATTAATACAGACAGGAAGACCTGGAGGAACGTTGTCCATGGGGTCGCAATGGGTCGGACACGACTTCGCAATTAACAACAACAACAAAGAATCTGAAGAGATTCTTTGAGAAACAACAGCTTTAAGCTAACAGATGCTGGAATAGAAAGTATAGCATTCCCCCACACCTGAAAAACTGTATTGTGTTATCCCACATTTCACCCTGGACCTCTTAAACTGTCAAGTACTCTCAGGAATACTGAAAAACTCCATCTCCTTGCTAGCATCGTATGTCTTTTGCATGTCCTTTCCTTCAGGCAATAGAATGTCTTTTGGGTGACCTTGCTTTGCACTTGTATCTCATCCTCTAAAGCAGTGTTTCTCAACCTTGACAATTTTAAGGCATGTGGACTTCAACTCCCAGAATTCCACAGCCAGCATTCCACAGCAATGCTGGCTGTGGAATTCTGGGAGTTGAAGTCCACATGCCTTAAAATTGTCAAGGTTGAGAAACACTGCTCTAAAGGAGTTAGTTTAGTTCCCTTCATTCAAAATGTGACCCTGTTGAATTTGTTCTGCTTTATAACACCCTGGATTTCTGTCTCATTTCTGCTGTTGAGTATGAAATTTGGAAGTTGAATAACAGGGCTCCTTAGTAAAATTATGTTATTTTTCTTCAGAGACCAATTATTATGATGCTTATAAGACTGGATAACAAGAATTGTAAGTTCTATATTAAAGTTATGTCCAAGAGGAAGCAAAAGGGATCAAGCCTTGCCAACCTAGTTTTGACTGGCTAAATAATAATCTTATAACTTTTTATAATTAGCATGGCAGATTATAGTCGGTGGGAAATAAAAGAAAAGATATACCATTAAATCCATTAGTCACTGAATTCATGAGAAGTTCGAATTCTGCCATTCAAAACCAACCCCACTGAATGAGACAAATTGCCTCTGCGTGATTCAGAAATGCTTTATGCAGGCTTTTTTGTAAAAGTCAGGGAAGCAAATGGCATTCCCTATTCACCTAAATTAAGATTAATGATGCTTATGGCCATCCACGTTATTTTTAAAGATAAAGAAAAAAATCTTAGAAATATCCATACCATCTGAGGCAGAGTTGCAGTCTGTGGCAGCAAAACCTCATGGAACTTACTGAAATCTTTAGTGGCAACTCCAGAGTCCTCCTAAGGTTGCCAAAAAAATTACTGGTAGACCTTGATTAACATAGGAATTGGGATTTCCTTTGCTAAGTGATGCAGTGCAATATCACATAACAATTAGCAACAGCATTCCCTATTGCTGTTGTTAAATGAGGATTGCAAATTGTTAAATAAGTCCCAGGTGGCTTGCAAGAAACCCAGGAGGCAAATAAGTGTCTGCTGCCAAGTGGGTGTCCACAGCAAGATGCAACACCATCATGGTTGGACTAAGGTGGCTGCTGCTGGGCAGGAAAGAGTACATGGGCAGCTGATGAGATAAAGGGCTATCATAATAAAACCAAAGATGGCTGCTGCAGGGAGGGGGGAAATGCAAACCATCTACCCAAAGCAACATGTGACCTTTCTTGTTGGTTTCCCTGTTGCTTTGCTTTGGGAAACCAGCAGGGCAGGTTGCAAATGGAAATCACATATCCATACAATGCTGCAACCATCATCAGTCAATCCAGTGACTGTGGGAGGTGCTTGAATGGCTGGAACTTCAACTCATTCAGCACCATTGTAACTTTAAAAATCCCTGATTGAGTAGTTGTTGAACAGGACTACCTGTGTAATTTTTTAATGTGATAGAAGTTAAAACAATATAGTAAATAGATGAGAAATTAAAACTGTCATGTGTTCTATGTTTGGCTCATATTGTTTTACTGTTTTTACTGATGTTAAGTTGTTTATGTTTGACATGGTTTTTATAATCTGTGTAGTGAATGAATCAAAATTTATTTAAGCTCCAAGACTAAACGCAATAAAAGACCAGTAATCAACAACTACAAAAAAATTAAAAGGTGATAAAATCCTCATACAATTAGCAGCTAACAATTAATAGCATGGGGGAGGAACCAGATGGTTTCTACAGCAACAGCTATAAATAAGAATTTTACATTCTTCTTAGAAGAAAGTTCACCAAGAAGAAGGGTAATAACCACTTGGACACAATAGCAATTAGAGTTAACAATTGGAAGTATTCAACTTCACTGTTCCTGGGTGTACAATGGACATTTTAATAGCACATGTGAAATGGATTCTAATCAAGTCTTAAAATATTGAGAGAGTGTATTTGAATGAAAAGTTTGGATATTCAAAGGTAATGAATTTTCAGAAAATTGTGACTGATAAGAGTTGTTTCAATACTGAGGGGAAATTAAGCTTAAATAAGAATCTTCAAAACAGGATATATAATGACTTAATGATGACTTCTATAAATACAATTGAAACATAAGCTGATTAGAAAAGATGTTATATGTTGATGTTATTGTTAAATGTACAAATACTAGAAAAATGTTTATACCAAACTCTGTATGTATTGAAAGTATTAAGAATTATTTTTGTTTAATGTAGACAAAAGGAGAATATTACTGGAAGAAGAGAGGGTAAAGGAAATATATTATCAATTAACATATTGATCACTTATAGAAATTAATTATTATTGTTTTTAAATATATGACCTTGACAACACATTGTTCACTAAGCACTAAAGATTGTTATTGCAAAAAATTAATATAATATATTTTAAAAAAAGAAATTGGATTTCATATGGGTGGCATATAGATCTACTAGTTGTTGTCCTAATAATTAGTGCCCAATTCTGCTAAAGTAAATAGTCTCCTAACTGAAGGATATAAAATGTGATAGAAATATCTATGGACAGATCTTGGCAGAGGAACAATTGTGCTATAAAAGAATTGGGAGAATTTGGCTCTATCATAATCTCTGTAAATCACCAAGCCTCTGTGTTAAGTCCTTGAGTTGATGGTGAAAGAAGAGCACACATTCTGAATACAACAACAGCTTTATTCTTCTTCTGCTCACTCAGGCACAATTCTGAGGCTCGCAGGCCTCTCTGACTCTAAATAGAATCCCCGGGCAAAAAGGTTACAAAGAGATGGCGCGCTTCACGCCTTGTGCATGCGCACAGGCTGGCGCCACTTAGTCTGGTCCTGGGCAGCTTGCAACAGCCCGGGACCATTGCAATGTCCCGAGCCTGCTTTTGCAGGCTCAGGACACAACACTCTGGATTTTAGCAGAATAGAAATTTGAAAACTAAACCAATACATATAAAAATATTAGTGATTCTATTAAATATAGTACACTGCCAGTTTAGACTGGTGGTTAAGGCAATAGGCTAGAAAACTAGACCATGAGTTTTAGTCCCACCTAATCCATGAAAATCAGCTAGATAACTTTGGCCCAGCAATTACTTTCTCTCAGCCCAACCCACTTCACAGAGTTGCTATTGTGGGGAACATAGGAGGAAGAAGAAGGTATGTGGATATGTTGCTGCCCTGAGTTATTTGTAAACTAATATAAAAACAGGATATAAACAAATAAAATAAAAAATAAAATTAATCATGTTGATTGTATTAGATTATTTTCAATGAGCTTTAATTAAATCTACATATGTTAAATTTAGTTCTAGTCTTGTCTCCATCCATATTCTTGATTAAAAATTTTGCGGTAGCCCCATAACAATAAGGGGTGATAACAGGGATTGGTGAATGGGGCAGGGTGAGAGTATAGGAAAAATCAAGGGGATCATGACTGTGCAATTGAAACCCTGCCCCATTTACAAGTATGATATTCATAAGAAAGGGAAGTCTTCAATCATATATTGGCTGCCATCTTTAGTACTCCGATATAATGTCAGTACTCTTCAGATGCTCTTGGCTGGCAGATGTCCTTGGCTGGCATCTTTGCTCAGTGTCTTTACCCAGTGAAATAGTATTTCACTCAAGACACTGCAAACATGGCTACTTTCTCAGTCTAACAAATCACATCATCAAATATTCTATGGGGGGGGAGGGGGGAAAGGTAATGCATGACCAGGAAAGTAGTTAAAACTCACCATTTGGCCCAGTTCTGACTCAAGGTCTGTTTTCTCCACACATAGCTTCTCATAGGCTTGGATCATCTCCTCCAACTGTTCTTCCCTTTCCTTGCTTTTCTGCAGCTGGTTTAGAGAGAGAGAGAAACAGGAAACAAATGAGCAAAAATCACATTCAGCAGCCATTAATTATCTAAATCTGTGACTGCCAGTTTCAAAGGCTGGAGACAGCAATTGCACATTCCCTGCATTTTAGACCCTTACACCATCTTCTGCCCCAAATTAAACTCAGGAAAATCTGTTCCTTCTGCTTGGTTCCTAAGTCAGATGTGTTCAGCCAGTTTGCTAATCAGCAGATAATTTTGTGAGTTGCTGTAGTAAAATAAAGCAAACCTGGATGGTCCTCCTGAATTAGGAAGACCATTCAGCAAAAATGGCAGCAATTCATACTAAATTTGGAGCCAGGTACAGTTATCATTTCAGAAATGAAATGGGGAAGAATTCATTTCATAGCAAAAGAATGTTCAAGCTGCATCTATTTTCACACAGAAAAGTACTGAAGATATCTTGAGAAAGTTTCCATTTACACAATTGTATACCTGCAAAATCTATTTACAAGAGGCGAAAATGAGGTGAATATTAATTACTCCGTAGTAATTAATAGCTAATTATCTCCATTGCTCCAAAAAAAATCATGTGATCTATTTTCAATTAATATTTTTTCATGGACAAGTACCCTCTGGCACATACTGTTCACCCAGCACTCTTTTTAGATACCTTGAAAATCAACAATTTGTGTCACCTTTTCTTTTTGGTAAGTATTATGAGGCACAAGTAGGTGTTTTAGAAGTTCAAATCCATTAAAAAAATTACTTACCCAGTCCCCAAAACTTTGGTTAGATTTTTCCTGTGGGGAGGGGTGTTAATTGATGCAATGGCTGTCTTAGGTCTCTCATCCAAAATATCTATTCTACTTATCCCCCACCCAAATATTTTAAAATGCCCCAAAGTGAAGAATTTAGCACTTTCTACTCCAAGTTGTCCCAATATCACTGTAGAAATATTAATTCCATAGAAGAAGGCAACGTGACTGAATTTTGGATTAGATTGGTTTGTGCATTTGTTATTTCCACACATTGCTACAGCAATTTATACTGGAGATGTAATTGAGATTGGCTTTACAAAATCATTTTGTGAAATCATTCTCTTTCCTGAATCTTTAAGAAGAAGAAGCCATTAAGAACATGGTCAACCATATTATGAAGCAAGGGAAATAGTTGCAACAACACTGCTGTCATTAATTGTTTTGATTTTGTCTCCTCCAAGGTAGCATTCTTTCTGATTGCACTGAAGTTTTTAACTGTATTCAAATGACCTGAACAGAAATTCTCCCTCAGACCTCCTGGCTTAACATGGGAAGGATGGGATTAAGCATCTTTCACTATTTTAAGACATTATGTGAGAAATTGAATCCCTGTAGGAGGGTTCTATTTCACTAGTAATTCTACAGAAAAATTCATAATACCAAAAATGTAGAACATTCCACAAAATTTGTTTGGTAGAGATCATCTAGCAATATTAATTCCTGCAAATGAGCCAGAGATCAGGATTCTTTAAAAAGCTATACTAAGACAATATCAATATCATTAGTGAACCAAAAATAAGTGAATTCTGCATCTTGAGTAAGTCCTATTAATGTCTGCATGCATTTTGCTTTTTGGATCTAATTTTTTTTTTCAATTTCCATCAACTTTAAGGAGTCCCCCAAAATGGTCCACAGTGTGAGAACTGAATCTTGTGAAGTAGAAATCAGTTTTAAGACTAGAAAAGACCATCATGTAAAAACATCTTAACTGCCTTTTAAGGCCACCAGAAACTAGCTAAATATCTATTAATTCAGAAGGGAGAAAGCAAAAAGGCAGACCACAAAATATGTCTGCCCTTTCTTTCTTTCTTTCTTTCTTTCTTTCTTTCTTTCTTTCTTTCTTTCTTTCTTTCTTTCTTTCTTTCTTTCTTTCTTTTTTCCTTCCTTCCTTCCTTCCTTCCTTCCTTATTGCATTGTCATGATCATTGCATTTGAGGCCTTCTTTTTGTCTACAGTAAAAACTGTGAGCCAAGGAATGCCTAGAAGTCTCCTGCCAAGTCTGACCAAGAGCTGAATTTAGGGCGAAGTGTCTGGGTTTATGCCTAGTCTGGGTGTGAAGTTTGACACTGAGCATTGAAAATCAACCACTGGAATCTTTGCTTCATCCTTCTCTTCTAGTGTCAAGAGAACTGGAAATATTTTAAGAGAAGGAATGCAGATGGTCCATTACTAAATTAAGAATGGCACTGGAATAAGATTTCAAAAATATACCATTCCAAATTATTGAAGAACAACAGAAGGGGATGGTACCTTCACTCCCACCTCAATTCTTTCTCTCCTCCCCACCTCAACAACACTTAATCTATCTTTAGTTCAATCCTGCTAGTCCTTCCATGGGAAAAGTTTGCATACAAACTAAGTAAGATATTGAAGCCCAATTCTTGTTTCTATAGCTGCGATAATCCTTTCTTCTTTTATAAGGAACTGAAAATAGCAGATACAGTATTTTTACAGAATTTAGACCTTAGTCTGAAAATCAAATTATGTACTTGCTTGATGAGTTCATATTAATGTAAAATTTAAATGTAAAATGTTTTTCTTATAGAGTACCCAATCTATATATATTCTGTATCTCTATCTCTTGCTCAATCCATCCATCCATCCATCCATCCATCCATATCTATCTATCTATCTATCTATCTATCTATCTATCTATCTATCTATCTATCTATCTACATATACACCAAATAATAATCCCAAGGTGATCTTAATATTAAATAGTTAGCTTCAGATAAAAATATTACCATTACTTTGTTATGTTATAACATAGGTCCCTTTTTATGTTATACTCGAGTTTGGAGGAAAAGTTAAATGATTTTATCCTTACAATATTGACGTTCTGAAATCCTGTTAATAATGATAAAATTTTGATTAAGCACCTTATTTACAAATAGATTAAATAAACTTATTTCAACCAAATAAAAAAAGATTTTTTATTTTTTCTTATTTTCAATACTTTAAACTTCCTAAATAATTGAATGCTCATAATTTATGTATATTACATATAATTGCACTAAAATATTCATTGAAATAATACAATGTGTCAAGATTTATAACATTATAATAAAAACAAAATGAATAATATATAGAACTAAAAAGGGCTCTGTATAAAGACTCTTTGTCCAAAAGAGTCCCTTAGTTGTGGTTAATTGTATTTCTTACTTCTTATATAGTCACTTGATTGTTCACTGCATAAAACCTTGTATATTTAATGATTAAATAAAATATTTGTACAATAAAAAAAGAAAAAGAATGCACACACACACTCTCACAGTGCTTCCATCCCATTTTACCTATACACCCTTATGAAGTATGCAATGCTAAAAGAAAAAAGCAATTGAACCAAGATCATCTCATGAATCTTTAGGTCCTCTTATCTCCTTTGCCATTGCATTACTTTGGTTATGATGAGTTAAAATAACAATTAAGACCCCATAGAATACTAAATAGTTTCACTTTAATATAAAGATAAATATGCTAGAATTCTTAAAATTCTGCTAGGTACATATGGTTCAGGGCAAAAAAAAATCTTTACAGAAAATATGATTAATGCATAACTAATTTAAACCTGACACATTATTCACTGCGGCCTATGGGGTCCCTATTCTAATGCAGAACACAGGTATTAGTATTTTAGTTACTCAGTTCAGTTACTCAATTATCTATTTCTAGGAATAGAGACAACAGAGATAAAATTTCTCTTAAAGAATTTTATTCACAGTTCTCTCCCCGTGTGTGTGTGTTCGTACGCACATGTGTCTATCTCTAAGTGCACAATTTTGGATTGTTGTCATTTGAGAGCTTCCAGTGCAAACAGAACACTGGGATCCAAATGTACTACCACTGGTCTTATCTAGTTGAAGGTGTGATTTGAGACATGTAAACTCTATTTCTTTCTATGTCTTTGGTACTGTTAGTTATAGTACTTACTCACTATGCTTTCTGAAATTGAAATTGTACAGGACCCTTCCTCCAGATGTGTGAAGATTAAAATTCCAAAACACAACAACAGAGAATTGCACATGAAAATGAACATATCCCATTAAATTATCCTCAATGAAAATGGAGAGAGAGTCCTTCTTAGGCAACCCCAGCTATTAGAAATGTTATTTTCTTATAGGTTTTGTATACTATCATAGTTACATATTACTAAATCAACCAAATAAAACAAATCCTCAGCCTTGAACCACATTTCAGTTCATGAGGCAGTGGTAAAAGCCACCATATGACAGGTAAAATTCCATGAAAAGATCAGTAAGTTAAATGCACTCATTTTGTTAAAGATTACTGAGACAGTCCCCTCACCTCACGCTGGAACTGATTCAACTGCTGCTGAAGGTTGACTTTCTCGCTCTTCAGAAGAGAAGTCTCCTTGGATTCATAAGCTGAGAACATATGTTCTTCTCCAAAGTCACTGATCAATGGAAACTGCAGGCCAGATAAAAAAAAAAAGCATGTGTCCGTATATATGAGAATAATATGTATTTACATATCTATATTGGTAATAGCATTAAAAATGTGTACATATCTATATGTACACACATACACACATATTTTATTAATATTTGCACAAAATGGGAAGCAATAACAAGTAAATCTGCATGTAAGATTTAAATATGAGAGAGTTACAATATTAGCTGCTACAATAAATACAGAAAAATGATTCTGTGTGGCCTGGACAAAATAGATTTTTAAAAAATCAAATACTGGGTAAAATATAAATATATTCAGTGCTTCAATTGTCTTTCCATGAAATGTCTAATTGGAGTTGACAGTAATCTGTGAGCCACAATATGAGAACCATTAGTTTAATGAGGAGGTTCTCTATTAATTTAGTTACTTTCATTTTATTTAAAATGAAAAACAAAACAAGAGGAGGGAGGTGTTGTATAACCAAGAAAAACTTCTGAATAGACTTACAACATGTGAGTATTGGCAACAATATGACATTTTTCCTAGGGAAAAAAATAAATGTGCTGAAGCCTAGTCAGCACATTGGTCCATCTAGCAGCCACCTATCCTGGGCATGATCAAGTGGTCCACAGAGGTGAATAAAAAAGAGTACATGAATAAAAGGCTATTCTAGCCTTCTTTGCATCCTCCAAAGGTATTAAAATACCTTTGCTGGATGAAAATTTCTGAAACTGCAGTCTCAACACAGCAGCTGGAGAAGATTGCCCTAGCATATCAGGAACCAACACATTAAAAAGTAGGAGGGATACTCTCAGCCCCTATTGTGTAGGGTCAATGTTTTGTAGCAGTAGATAATTACATATATCCCTGCCCATGATAGGAGCAACATTTTTTTTTTCTGAATTGGTATATGCTATTTTTCTGGCTGATCTAACTTTGCACAGCTACCACTCACCTTGATCTCATACATCTTTAGTTTCCGTTTGAGGTTAGTGTTCTCCCGCTCTAACCCTGTCAAGCGATTCTTGATATCATCATATGCCGTGATGAAAGCAAAGTGAGAGGCAGAACACATCTCACTGGAGAGGTCAGTGTTCGGACTATCCAACCATTCATCATCCTGCACCAAGGCATCTTGGGTAAGGATGCTGATATCATCCTCAAACATGGAGTCCATGACATAGTCTGGAAGGAGTGGGCATTTAGCAGGAAATATCAATGCATGGCCAAATCCAGCTGCAGGAGGTGACAAGAAACAAGAGTAATAAGGCTGATAGCAAAATACCTTTTTCCAACATTCCACTTTTTTTAAGCATCTTCTTATCATTTCTGTTATAAGTTGAGCAAAAGAGCTATATATTTGTAAATGGATTTTTAATTGTTGAAAGCTATTCTGAGGGACAATATCTGTTTGGAATCCAGGATAAGGTCTAATAAAGAAAAGATGCAAAAGAAATTATATCAACATTTTTGAACAAACTTTGTTACCATCTTCTGATTATGTGCTTCCTATTGATAGTATATCATTACTGTTTTAAAGATTTACAGTACACTAGTGTGGTACTCCAGTACATATTTGTGTTTCTAACCCTTCATTTGTAAGTATGCTAAAGAATTGTGGTGGATTGCTCTCCACCAGCTACATCTATCAATTATGCAGTCTCACCCATCACATATTGCAGCAGTTTAGAAGTCCCTATTATGTTTATTGATTTGTGCTTGGAAGGAAATTAAGCACAAATTAACCCAACAGGACTTGCTTGGCATGACCACATGTCCTTCCCACATGCTTTTAGGGAACACAAAGTTTGTCAGAAATACTCTTAGTACACCTCCCATTCACCTTCACAGGTCTTGTACCGCAGAATGTTTGGATCATTGTTCACAAGGTTCCATATCTGACTGTGTACCATTATATGCTGTGTTGAATGACATCTGGGGTCTAGTTCTTTAATCTGCAACTCAAATGCTGCACTGGATTTCTCAGTATGAGTACTGGAAAGAAGAAATGTGCTAGTCAAGCCCAACACAGAGATAGCCTGCTGAAAGAACTAAACAATTTCAGACATGGGCACAGAATGTGACAACCCCCCAGAGAAGGAAAGGAAAAGGGGAAGGAGAACGGGAAGGAGAACAATAGTAAGATAAAATCAGGTACAGAGGAAAGGTGAGTGTCCAAACTGCTGCAGCAACTTGCACACCATGGCAGAACTTTTTAAAATGGCTTATGTGGACATGTTGAGTAAAGAAATGAGACTACAAAAATCATTCATTATTTTTAAAAAGCAGTATACAATTCTGAATGGCTCATATATTTATATATAAAAAACAAAAATAGATAACAGATAGCTACTGGCTCTTTAGGAAATAAAGAGCACAGGAAACTACTTGTATAGACTCAATCCATTGAGCTATCTAGTTAATATTCTGCATCTAGATTAGGCAGAACATGATGGATCAGCTCCACTACAGATCTCCAGTTGATCTGCAATGCCCAAAACTCTGATTCCCAGTTGCCAAACAATAGCAACAATAAAAAGACCCCACTTATCCTACATGAAGAAACTGAAAGAAAATTTGGAGAAAAAAATAAAATAGACATTTTCCCTAGTCAAGAGGCCCTAGAGAGGCACTTTTCTGCATCTAAATCCATTTGGTGATTAAATGGGTTCTAATTAAAATAAAGCATTATTACTGCCCCCCACTTATTTCCAGTATTCTGGAAAGTAAACATATAGATTTCTCCTATTTTATCTAAAAGCAATCCTCTCAGATAGGCTGGCCTAAGGGAGAATGACTACTCCATTTTCCTAAAACTCCATGGTTTAACCTGGAACTATTCACTATTGCTTTGGGTTATCTTCGTGTATCTATATCACTATCAGGCCTTCATCCAAAGCATGAAAATCAATATTTCTCTTTCTAGGAACTCAACTCTGTGCTCAGGGCCTAGCAGTAAAGAGTCAAGAGATAATAATTTACCCTTATTACAGATATCAAAGCAGCTTCAATAATGGGGAAAAATCAGCTTTAAACTCTAGAAATCAACCACTGGCTTTAAATACTACCTACAACTTTTTCTCTTGCATTTACATGACAACAAATTTCTTCTCGTTCATTTCTTGACCTTGAATGTGGAAAGCACTGTTTTGACAGATGTTGTACGTGGTCTACTTTGCCAGTTTCAGTGGTCACAGTTACCAAGAGAGGATGAGGTGGCAATACAGCCATCGAAAGCTAGGTTATCTATTTATTAAACATTTAATTGTTTTACCTCCTGGTGCTCATTTTTATCTTTATCTCCTCAATTTTTAGGTTAATTTTTAACCTAAAACAGTATCTTTGCCATGAAAACCCCATGGACAGTACTAAAAGGCAAAAAGATATGACGCTGGAAGATGAGCCCCTCAGGTCGGAAGGTGTCTAATATGCTACTGGGGACGAGCAGAGGGCTAGTACTAGTAGCGCCAGAAAGAATGAAGCGACTGGGCCAAAGCCTGAAAGGACGCTCAGCTGTGGATATATCTGGTGGTGAAAGGAAAGTCCGATGCTGTAAAGATTTTTTCTCCATAGGAACCTGGAATGTAAGATCCATGAATCAAGGCAAGCTAGACGTAGTCAAAAAAGAGATGACAAGACTGAACATCGACATCTTAGGAATCAGCGAACTAAAATGGACAGGAATGGGTGAATTTAACTCAGATGACCATCAGGTATATTACTGTGGGCAAGAATCCCTCAGAAGAAATGGAGTAGCCTTCATAGTCAATAAAAGAATAGAAAAGCAATACTGGGATACAATCCCCAAAATGACAGAATGATCTCAATTCGAATCCAAGGCAAACCATTCAATATCACAGTAGTCCAAATCTATGCCCCAACCACTGGTGCTGAAGAGGATGAAATTGACCGGTTCTATGAAGCCCTACAGCACCTTATAGAATTAACACCAAAAAATGATGTCCTTATCATCATGGGGGATTGGAATGTTAAGGTAGGAAGCCAAAAGATAACCGGAATAACAGGCAAGTTTGGCCTTGGAGTACAAAATGAAGCAGGGCACAGGCTAATAGAATTTTGTCAAGAGAATACGATGGTCATAACAAACACTCTTTTCCAACAACCCAAGAGACGGCTCTACACATGGACATCACCAGACGGTCAACATAGAAATCAGATTGACTATGTGCTCTGCAGCCAGAGATGGAGAAGCTCTATACAGTCAGTAAAAACAAGACCAGGAGCTGACTGTGGCTCAGATCATGAGCTTCTTGTTGCAAAATTTAGGCTTAAATTGAAAAAAGTAGGGAAAAGCACTAGGCCACTCAGGTATGAACTAAATCATATTCCTGATGAATATACAGTAGAGGTGACAAATAGATTTAAGGAATTAGATCTGATAGATAGAGTGCCTGAAGAACTATGGATGGAAGTTCGCAACATTGTACAGGAGGTAGCAACTAAAACCATCCCAAAGAAAAAAAAATGCATGAAAGCAAAATGGCTGTCTGAAGAAGCTTTGCAAATAGCTGAGGAAAGAAGGGAAGCGAAAGGCAAAGAAGAAAGAGAAAGATACACCCAATTGAATGCAGAATTCCAGAGAGTAGCTAGAAGAGATAAGAATGCCTTCTTAAATGAACAGTGCAAAGAAATAGAAGAAAACAACAGAATAGGGAGGACCAGAGATCTCTTCAAGAAAATTGGAGATATGAAGGGAACGTTTCATGCAAACATGGGCATGATAAAGGACCAAAATGGCAGAGACCTAACAGAGGCAGAAGAGATTAAGAAGAGATGGCAAAATTACACAGAAGAACTATACAAGAATGAGCTTAACATCCCAGATAACCACAATGAGATGGTCACTGACCTCGAACTAGACATCCTAGAATGTGAAGTGAGATGGGCCTTAGAAAATCTGAGCAACAACAAAGCTAGTGGAGGTGACAGTATTCCAGCTGAGCTATTCAAAATCTTAAAAGACGATGCAGCAAAAGTGCTACACTCAATTGATGTCATAGCTGAGTAACAATTTATATACAGGTAGTCGTCAGCTTACCACCATTTGTTTAGCAATTGTTTGAAGTTACAATAGCAATGAAAATAAAGACTTAGATCTCATCCTTGCATTTACAACTGTTGCAGCATTTCAATGGACACATGATCAAACTATGGGCACTTGGCAACCAAACATGATGCACTCAACTTTAGTAACTTGCTTAACAACTGAGGCAGAAAAGATTGTAAAAAGCTATTTAAAAATTACTGTGCTCAGCAATGGAAATGCTAGTTCCAATTGTGGTCATAAGTTGAGGACTAACTTGTATATGCTCTAATACATGCTCATGATTGTGCATGAGCATTTCAAATTCTTAACATTTTTTTAAAAGCTGTCTCTCATTTTTGAAGTTGGTTTTTATTCTTCCAGCAATCTGTTGGTATATCAACAATGGTATGTTCCAGCTTCACCAAGTAGTTCTTGGTATGTCTTTGATCTTTGACCCTAAATGGATGATACTGTAATTGCATTTTTCTTATTCCAAAATTAAAGCAAAATTTTAAGGAGAGGCTACCAGTGAGATTGTTGGAATTATTATTTTCATAAGATTTCACACTTTTTATCAAACTTCACATTATGTTATTTTTAACATTTTTGCACTCTTTGGTGTCCTTGTATCATAAATATCTACAAAACCCATTAATTACACCAGTTCTATGCAATGTTGATGTTCTACTATGTGAGGATTTTATCATTTCTATCAGAATGACAAACAGTTTGTCCTGTAATATTCAGCATTCAGAATAGAGTAAAGCTGGAAAGGACCTTGGAGGTTTTCTAGTTCCACCCGCTACTCAAGCAGGAGTTCCTTTATTATTTCAGACAAGCGACTGTCCAGTCTCTTCTTAAAAACCTTGAGTGATGAAGCACCCATGATATCTGAAGGCAAGCTTTCCACTGGTTAATTGTCCTCACTGTTAGGAAGTTTCTCTTTAATTCCAGGTTGCTTCTCTCCTTTATTAGTTTCCATCCATTGTTTCTTGTCCTGCCCTCTGGTACTTTGGAAAATAAATTGACCCCTTCCCGTTTGTGGCAGCCTCTCAAATACTGGAATACTTCTATCATATCCCGCCTAGTCCTTCTTTTCTCTAAAGTAGCCAAACCCAAATCCTGCAACCATTCTTCATATGTTTTAGTCTCTAGGCCTTTAATCGTCTTAGTTGCTCTTCTTTGCACT